AGAGGTGCCCCAAGAGGCCCCAGGAGACCCCCAAGATAAGCCCAGGAGGCCCAAAGGAGGCTTCAAGAGGCTCCCAAACAGCCCCGAGGAACCTCACAACGGACGGCGCGGACGAGCCGCACTTCGGACAGCCGCCGCCGCCGGTCCAAGAAAACGGCCTCCTGGACGCCACGCGCGCCGTGGCCCTCCTGCGGTGGCACCTCCCGCCCCGGGCCAGCGCAGAGGCCCTCGGATCCCAGAGAGAATTCTAGACGCTTCGCGTATCCCCACCAGCCCGTCCAGAAACGACGCCCAGGCGAGTAGAGGGTCGTCCTGAGGAGCTTTTCGGCGTCTTGGGTGCCTCGGGGGGGCCTCTGTAGGCCGTTCGGGATCCTCCTGGGGGCCTCTTGGGGGGCCTCTTGGGGCCATCATGGGGCCATCCTGCGGCCTCTTGGGGCATCCTGGGGGCCTCTTGCGGCCATCGTGGAGGAAATCGATCAAAGAAGAGGGGAGCTCTAATTAGCGCTGCCCCCTCAGAAGGCCAAAATGGGGCCAAAACCATAGTAAAATCAATAATTTTGGCTTCCTCGCCGAGGCCGTTTTGGACGCTCTGACCGCTCCCCGCCCCAGTGGGGAGGGGGTAGGGGGAGGGGTAAACCCCTCCCCGAAGGGGAAGAGGGAGGGGTGGAAGAGGAAACGCCCTAAACCACCGACGCCCAGAGGGCTGGTGGGATTCTCCGTCGTCGGCGGTGTCGCCGTCGTCGGCGTCGTCGTCGTCGACGCCGTCCCCGCCCCGGTCCTTCCTCGGGACCGCGCTCGCCCCTTCGACTTCTCGGCTCGCCTCCCGCCGATGTTCTTGTCGCCTTGCCAAGCGCCTTCTTACTTCAAGAGTGGACACGCTTTTGCTGTATTTTGTTCTTCCCTGGGGGGCCCTGGCCCCAATCAACTCCATCGGCCTTCCTACTTCGTGCTTTTACCTACTTCTTTCCACCGACGTGCATCTCTCCTGTCCTCCTCACCCTCCTCATCCTCGCGGGGCGGGACCCCGCTGTTGCCACGGTGCGGTCTTGTGCGCGGGGGCGAGGCCGGGGGCCCCAGGACAGGTGCCCCGACCCCCCATGGCGGGACGGGGGGGGTGGGCCTGGAGCTTCCCTGGAGCAGCCCAGGCGGCCCACGAGTGCCCCAGGAGCGCTCCACGACAGGCCCAGAAGGCTCCAAGAGGCCCAAGAGGGCGCCAAGAAGGCCCCAAGATGCCCAAGATAAGCCCAAGACGGCCAAAGAGGCCCCCCAAGACGCTCCAAGAGGCTTCCAAGAGGCCCCCCCATAGGGCCCCAAGAGGCCAAAATCGCTCATTTCACAAAAGTTTTGGACACATTTTGCCTTTCCCGCCTTTTCAGTTTTCCGACGCTCCACGACGGCTCGCCGGCCCCCCCGCGGACGCCCCAAGACAGCCCAAGACGGCTCTGGAGCGCCCCAAGACGGCCCAAGACGCGCCCAAGACGGGCGAAGAGAGGCCCAAGACGGCCCCAAGAGGACACCAAGAGGGGAACCGCGAACCGGAAATTCGAGCCTCCCGCCTTCACAGGGCCCCGGGAGGCCCCAAAGGGGCCCCAAGAGGCCCCAGGAGACCCCCGAGATAAGCCCAAGACGGCCAAAGAGGGCCCCCAGTCGCTCCAAGAGGCCTCCAAGAGGCCACCCCAGAGGGCCCCAAGAGGCCAAAATCGTTGATTTTACTGATGTTTTGGACACATTTTGCCTCTCCCGCCTTTTCAGCTTTCCAACGCTCCACGACGACTCACAGGCCCCCCGCGTACGCTCCAAAACAGCCCAAGAGGCCTCCAAGAGGGCCTCAAGACGGCTCTGGAGGGCCCGAAGACGGCCCAAGACGCGCCCAAGACGGGCGAAGAGAGGCCCAAGACGGCCCCAAGAGGGCCCCAAGAGGGGAACCGCGAACCAGAAATTCAAGCCTCCCGCCTCCACAAGGCCCCGGGAGGCCCCAGAGGGGCCCCAAGAGGCCCCAGGAGACCCCCAAGATAAGCCCAAGACAGCCAAAGAGGCCCCCAAGACGCTCCAAGAGGCCTCCAAGAGGCCCCCCCGGAGGGCACCAAGAGGCCCAAATCGCTAATTTTACGAAAGGTTTTGGACACATTTTGCCTCTCCCGCCTTTTCAGCTTTCCAACGCTCCACGACGGCTCACAGGCCCCCCGCGGACGCCCCAAGACAGCCCAAGAGGCCTCCAAGAGGGCCTCAAGACGGCTCTGGAGGGCCCCAAGACGGCCCAAGACGCGCCAAAGACGCGCCCAAGACGGGCGAAGAGAGGCCCAAGACGGCCCCAAGAGGGCCCCAAGAGGGGAACCGCGAACCGCAAATTCGAGCCTCCCGCCTCCACAGAGCCCCGGGAGGCCCCAGAGGGGCCCCAAGAGGCCCCAGGAGACCCCCAAGGTAAGCCCAGGAGGCCCAAAGGAGGCTTCAAGAGGCTCCCAAACAGCCCCGAGGAACCTCACAACGGACTGTGCGGACGAGCCGCACTTCGGACCGCCGCCGCCGCCGGTCCAAGAAAACGGCCTCCTGGACGCCATGCGCGCCGTGGCCCTCCTGCGGTGGCACCTCCCGCCCCGGGCCAGCGCAGAGGCCCTCGGATCCCAGAGAGAATTCTCCGTCGTCGGCGGTGTCGCCGTTGTCGGCGTCGTCGTCGTCGACGCCGTCCCCGCCCCGGTCCTTCCTCGGGACCGCGCTCGCCCCTTCGACTTCTCGGCTCGCCTCCCGCCGATGTTCTTGTCGCCCTTCGACTTTCGGAGGCTCCTCCCGGGGTCCTGGGTCCAGTGCTCCGGCCTCTCCAGAGCGCTTCAAGTGGCCGAAATCGGTAATTTTACAAAGGTTTTGGAGAGATTTAGCATTTTCGGCTGTCCGACGTTCCAAGACGGCCCAATAGGCCCCAAGAGCGCCCAAAGACGGCCCAAGAGGGCCCCCAGACGACCCCAGAGGCGCCCAAGACAGCCCAAGAGAGCCCCAAGACGGCCCCAAGATGCGCCCAAGAGGGGACCACGAATCCAAAATTCGACCCTCCCGCTTGAAGAGTGCCTCAGGAGGCCCCAAGGAGACCCCAAGAGAACGAGGCTTCAAAAGGCCACAAAACAGCGGCGGCGGCGGCGGTCCGAAGTGCGGCTCGTCCGCACCGTCCGTTGTGAGGTTCCTCGGAGCTGTTTGGGAGCCTCGGGGCCTCCCGGGGCCCTGTGGAGGCGGGAGGCTCGAATTTGCGGTTCGCGGTTCCCCTGTTGGGGCCTTCTTGGGGCAGTCTTGGGCCTCTTTTCGCCCGTCTTGGGCCGTCTTGGGGCCCTCCAGAGCCGTCTTGAGGCCCTCTTGGAGGCCTCTTGGGCTGTCTTGGGGCGTACGCGGGTGGCCTTGGAGCCGTCGTGGAGCGTCGGAAAACTGAAAAGGCGGGAAAGGCAAAATGTGTCCAAAACTTTTGTGAAATGAGCGATTTTGGCCTCTTGGGGCCCTCTGGGGTGGCCTCTTGGAGGCCTCTTGGAGCGTCTTGGGGGGCCTCTTTGGCCGTCTTGGGCTTATCTTTGGCATCTTGGGGCCCTCTTGGCGCCCTCTTGGGCCTCTTGGAGCCTTCTGGGCCTGTCGTGGAGCGCTCTTGGGGCACTCTTGGGCCGCCTGGGCTGCTCCAGGGAGGCTCCAGGCCCCCCCCCGTCCCGCCATGGGGGGTCGAGGCACCTGTCCTCGGGCCCCCGGCCTCGCCCCCAGGAGGCCCCAAGGAGCCCCCAAGAGGCCCCAGGAGGCCCCCGAGAGGCACCCAGGAGACCAATCCGAGATAGCCCACGAGGCCTCCAACAGGGCCCAAGACAGCCCGAGGGGGCACCAATACGGCCCCAAGGGGGGCCCAAGAGGGGTAAGACGAACCGAAAATCCGAGCCTTCCACCCCGAGAGGCTCCCAGGAAGCCCCAGAGGCCCCCAAATGGGACCCAAGAGGCCCTCAAGAAGCTCCCCACAAGGCCGAAGAGGTTCCAAGAAGCAATGTTTTCCCATCGGCTTTTGATGGATTTTAAAGTTCCCAGCCTTTTGGCATCCCGACGCTCCAAGACGGCCCAAGAGGCCCCCAAGACCGCAGAGGCCTCCAAGAGGGCCCCAAGACGGCCCACGAGGGCCCTAAGACGGTGCCCGAGGCGCCCAAGACGGCCCGCGAGGGCCCCAAGAGGGCCCCAAGAGAGCAGGCCCGGGGCCCGAAAACAGCTACCCCGACCCTCCATGGGGGAACGTGGGCTTATTTTCTTTATGTTTTTACAAGGTTTCCGCGTCCTGGGCCTGGGCAAGGGGCCGCCCTTTCATGGATGGTCTGGGGGGCTCTAAAACTTCTCGTCTGGGAGGGTTGGGACCCCCTCCCTTTTCTTACGAAATCTGGAGTATTTATTTGTGTGTCCTGGGGCCCCTTCATGTCAGTGCCAGCGGGGTCGCCGCGGGGCTGCTCCCCAACCGGGGCGCTCCTCGCGGCCTACAGCGGTCGTGTGGCCGCCGCAGGGCCACGCCTCGCGGGGGGTCTGAGAGGCTGGCTCGTCTGCCGCACGGGGTCCGACAGTTTCGTTGCTGGAATGTTGATTCTTGGCATCGCTCGGACGTGTGCATTTTTCCTTCGGCGAGGATCATCGAGGAGCATCCTTGATCATTTGTCGAAAAAACCACGCGCAACACCGAAAAAGGCACAGGGATTGGACGTCCGAGCGATGGCCAGGATTTGTGATGATTCAGTCCGTCTCTTTTCCAGTGTTGTGCAGCGTCGGCGGTGCAGAGTATCGGGTGACCGATGGCTGAACTGGCCCCACCTGCTTTCGTATCGTATCGTGTCCTCCTCTTCCTCCCGCTCTTCCCGCTTCTCCCCATCCCTATGCTCCCTCCTTCCTCCCCCCGTTTCGCCTTCTCATCATTCCTCCCTCCTGCTCCACTGCTTCTCCTCACCCTGCGCCTCGTCTTTTCCATCGCCCAATCGTTCGCATTTCTGCTGATTGGTTTGTCTTCCAAGGTCGGGGTCTCCGAATTCTACAGCTCGTTGCAGGGCCCTCGTGACCGCCAACAGACTTGGCGCGAGACGATTGCGAGGATGCCCTGGGACCACACAGTATGCTTTCCCCCATGCCCCTTCGCCCTCCCCGGTCTTCCCTGTTGCTGCTTATCCTCCCTCTATTTTCCCTCCCCTTCTTCTCCTTACCCTCCATCACCCCTCCCAATTCATCATCCATCTTCCTTCCTCTCATATTTCGGCTCCCCCACTTTCGTCGTTTCTTCCTCCACCCATCACTACGCTCCCTGCCTCCCTCCCTTCCTTCCTTCCTTCCTTCCTTCCTTCCTTCCTTCCTTCCTTCCTTCACTTCGTGTGTTTTATCCGGTCGTTGCCTTGCTTGCTTTGTCTTTGTTGTTCTCTCTCTCCCTCTCTCTCTCTCGCTCTCTTTCTCTCTGTACGTCTTGATATTTACGTAGGAGGTCTTCAATTATTATACCCCTCTTTTGTTTTCTTCGGCGGGGCATGAACCCGCCCCTCCTCCTCCTCTTCCTCCTCGCGGCGGCAGAGGCATGGCTTTCCTGTAATGTTCGTCGGGCGAGATAATGTTGGTAGGCTATTTCTCCGGGCGAATAATGCCGTATGGGCTACCCACGCGTGGGAGAATTTTGAGTACAACCGTAAGAGGGTTGTAATACAAATGTCGATGGTTTATTCTTAAAGTGTTGGTTGCGTGAAAGCAGATCTAAATGCCTTTGGCGGACCCTCCAGGAGCTCTCTGGGAGCCCGGAAAGGTAGGCGAGCATCAGGAGCCGTTGCAGTCGGCAGGCGCCGACGCGTTTAGCAGAAACACATTTGAGAACCGCGAGACGGGAAGACACGCTTGCACAGGGCTGAGGCCGAACGCAGCTGCTACATCAGCGTTGTCAACGGCGCCTGCAGCTCGAGCGCATTCTCGCGCCTCTTACCCTGGCGGAGGGACGCGCAAGTTACCCCTCACCAGCGGCATGCGCTGGTAACCTCCGTGGCCACCCTGAGGGTCGCGCTATCTGGTTGCGGGCGATCCTGACCGTTGCTCCTATTGGGCACAGCCGAGCGCATTAGCGCCTCTCAGTACGCCTCCCATCACCCAGCTAACGCACTGGGCAGACGGTGGTGACCGCTTGGGCCAAAGGCTAGCGAGCAGGGATGTTAGGAGCGAGCAGCAGTAGGAGCGCCTGGACCCTTGCGCCCCCAGCTCAGCTCTTGCAAGAGGGACCGCGGAGCTGACGCTTACTTGTGTGACTCCGTGAGCGCGAGGGGCCACTGCTGCGCTGTAGCTGCCGCGAACAAAGTCTTGGGCAAGTCGCAGGTTCGTGCTGGCCACACACCTTCTGCCCTTCCACGCCATGTACAAAGGTTGCGCCGAGGACGCCGGGACCCCCAGCGTCTTTTTGGGACCTGCCCCGGGAGAGGTCCCTCCACGAGCCAGGCGGCTGCCACCAGGGTAGGTCACGGCCATGGCAAATTCTGTATTTGCCGAGGGAGGTTTTCCCATATCTGCTGTGTCCTCGCCAGCTTCAACGGCGTCCTGCGACCCAGGAGGCGATGCTCACGACAGAGGGGCGTATGGTGTATGATCTTGAAGCAGTCCGTTGTTCAGCTCGCGCTCTGGATGGGCGTCCTAGTGGTGCCCAGCTATACGCTCGTAGCGCTGTGGGCGTCCGAGCCAATTTCAGAGAGTTGCCCGCAATTCGACAGCAACCCTGACCTGCGCAAGGCCCACAGTCTGTAACGCGACGGAGCCACCCATCACCTCGAGTTCCCTGGCAGTCACGGCGAGATGAAGCGGCGAGGCGGGGCGCAAGCATTTCATTTGTCAGCTAGCAAGTGGAATGAGTCAAGAAGGGGGGGCACGTTGGCGCCGTCTTCTGCGCGCCGAAAGCTTGGCATCGCTCGGACGTGTGCATTTTTCCTTCGGCGAGGGCCATCGAGGAACATCCTTGACCATTTGGCGAAAAAACCACGCACGAAACCGAACAAAAACACAAAACATGGACGTCCGAGCGATGGCGAGAAAGCCATCACAGGGAATTCACACATCGCCAGGGTAGAAAGCATGGAGTGGGTGCCTGAGCAGCCGTGGCCCGAGCGGCTCCAGGGGCCTCCCCCCCCTCCTCCTCTTCCTCCTCCTCCTGCTCCTCCTCCTCCTCCTCCTGCTCCTGCTCCTGCTCCTGCTCCTGCTTCTGCTCCTTCCTCCTGGCGTCGAGGAGGCGAAAGGGGGGGGGGGGGGGGCGGCCTGGCGACGACATCCAGCGCGTCCAGGGCCGCGGCGCCAGCTGCGGGCTAGGGTGCCCGTCGCGGCGGCGCGACAGGACGGGCGCGCCGCGGCGAGCAGCCGCGAGGAGGAGGGGAAGGAGGTGGCACCAGTTCTTCGGAAGCGGGCCCGTAGTGCGCACGCACCCCCGCCCTCCGAGCCGATCCAGAGTCGTCCGGGCCACCATCCCCACTCCACAGCATACACAACGAGCCGCGGCCTGCTGCTGCACCGCTTCCGGCAGCTTCGCGCTCCTCGCCGCGAGGAGACCTTGAGGAGCGGGTGCCGGAACAGCCGTGGCCCGAGCGGCTCCAGGGGCCTCCCTCACACTTCTAGGGGGCCACATGCGAACCCCACCCCCGAGCGAAGTGAACCCCACCCTCCCCCTAGGAAATCGGGGGGGGGGGTAGGGTTCGCATGTGGCCCCCTAACCTTGCCGTCGAGGAGGCGAGAAGGGGGGTGGGCCGCGGCCTGGCGACGACATCCAGCGCGTCCGGGGCCGCAGGCGCCAGCTGCGGGCCAGGGAGCGACCCACGGGGTGCCCGCCGCTCCTGCGCGACAGGACGGGCGCGCCGCGGCGTGCCGAAGCGAGGAGGAGAGGAGAAAGGGAGTACTGCACATAGACAAACACACACACACACACACACACACGCACACGCACACGCACACGCACACACACACACACACACACACACACACACACACACACACACATACATACATACATACATACATACATACATACATACATACATACATACATACATACATACATACATACATACATACATACATACATATATATATATATATATAGATTGTGTCCCCCCTCCTCTCTCTGTGCATATATACCTGGTTATTTTTTCTATATGCTTATCGCATGGGGCCCTGCGACCCCCCCCCCCAACGGACCTCCCCCCCCGATCCTTGGCCCCCCAGGGGCGCCCTGGGATTCCCTTGCGGACGGTCCCCCTGTGCTTTCTGGGGCTCCCGAAGCCCCTGCTGGACCTGGGGGACGGGCCCAAATCGGTCAGGAGGGCGGCCAGACGGCCCCGCGAGAGCCCACACGGGCCCCAGACACCCACCAGACGCCCGAAGATGACCCAAAGAAGACACCCAAGAGGAACAGCACAAATGTCATATGGTTTGGGGATGGTGTTGGGAATGTTCAGTTCTTCGGTCTTTCAGGCGTCCGAGACTGTCCAGGAGGCCAGAGCATGCCCCAAATTTAACCAAGAGGGCTGTCAGGCAGTCTGAGAGGAGCTCCAAGACGGCCCAACAGGGCCCCAAGATGGCCCGAAGAGAACCCCATGACGGCCCAAGATGGCCCCGAGACACCTCCCGAATCATTTCAAATCGTGACCCAGTCGTTCAGGGAGATCGCGGTTGGAAATAGGGTGGTTCGGGAAAGCCCCCAGTTGCCCCCAGAAGGAACCCAGAAGGCTTCCAGGAGGTCCCAACAAGCACTTAAAACCTTCGTGAGATTTACAAGAGGCTCGCCTAGGATGAGCTTCCACAAAATAAGCTGAGGATTGTGGCGAGTTCGCGGGGTAGGGCGAGAATGAGGAAGAGGAAGAGGGAGTATGAGGGAAGGATAACGAATAACATGATAACAACGAATTATTGCTAAATGCTCCGTTTTACCTTATTGCTTTCTTGCCTGCATGCCAAGCCTGAAGGACCAAGAGTGCACGGCGCGAAGCTCCAATGAAGTCTTGTGTGTATATATATACACACATACGCGTGTGAGTACGTGTGTAATTGTAAAGAATGTGTGTGCGTGTGTGCTTGCCTTTATCCCTGAGCCCATCTCTTCCCCTCGCCCCTCCCTCTCCTCCGTTCTCCGCCTAAGGAACTACTGGGACCACCCGTTCCATCCTCTCAACGAGCGCCCGCCGGAGCCGTCCTACAAGGGCCTGAGCACCTCGTCGGGCGGGGACCTGCGGCAGCCCTGGGAGCTGCTCGCGCGCTCCCATCGCGGGAGACTCCAGCTGCGACCAAGAAGTTCGGCTTCCCCCCTCCCGCTGCCCCATCCCGTCGGGGGCTCTGGAGCTCGCCTCCCCCTCCCCCCCCGCTCTCCCTGCCGCTGGCCCCACATCCTTTCTTCTCTCTCTCTCTCTCTTCCACTCCCTCTCTGCCTCTCTCTCTCTCTTTCTCTGCCCTTCCCCCTCCCCGCTCCCCTGCCGCTCCACTCCACTCTCGTTCTCTCGCTTCCTTCTTTTCTCTGCACCTTTCCTCTCCCGCCCTTTAATCCTTCTGCACTCCTCCTCCTCCTCCTCCTCCTCCTCCTCCTCCTCCTCCTCCTCCTCCTCCTCCTCCTCCTCCTCCTCCTCCCCCTGCTCCACCTCATTTTCCTCTGGCACATCCTCCGCGCCATCATAGCCACAGTGGATCAAGCGATCGCATTGGATACATGCGCTTCTGTACGGGAGAAGGGATGTGCGGGGTTGGAGGGTGCTGGCCCGTGTCTGCGTTCCGCGGAGCGAATGCTGATGAATTCCATGCCGTCTCCCGCCGACAGGGTGAACGACTCCATGGACGGCGCCCCCGCTCCCGAGAGCGATGGGCTCCGCCCTCGTGCCCGAGCGCACCGCCACCACCGCACGCGCCGCCTCCTTCGCCCAGGCTCTCGACCTGGCCCCCCAGACCCCCGACGTCATGATTTTTTCATGACGCGACCCCCAGAGGTCCAGACCCATTCCCCGGAACCGGTTTTTCATCCCGAGTCGTTTTTTGACGGTCCCGAGGCCCGGTAAGGGCCCTCAGAGGCCGAAAATAGCGAAAAACCTCCCGTCGTGATTTTTTCATGACTCGAGGAGGTCTGGCCCCCTCGGGCTCTCGCCGCGGGCCCCCAGGGCGGGCGCCGGGCTCGACGCCGCCGCCGCTGCCGGGCCTGCGGCCCCCGCCGGCGCGCGCCCCGAGGAGGCCGCGGCGGCCCGCCCCGCCCGCCCTCCGCGGCGGCGCGCCCCGCCGGCGGGGCGGCGCGCCGTGCGGACCCCCGCTCGTCTGCTGCCCCCCGCGCGCCTCGCCGCGCACTCCTCGGCGAGTCTCTCGCCCGCGGGTGTGCCCGGGCCGCGAGGTGGCCCGGGGACCACTCTGTCGGAGGGCACCAACTATACACCAACACCGATCCTGGCCCAGGATCACCCTGGTCCCAGGATCGGTGTATATGCCTTCTTGCGCAAGGCAGGAGGGCGTATACACCGATCCTGGGCCCAGGGTGATCCTGGCCAGGATCGGTGTTGGTGTATAGTTGGTGCCTTCCTACTCTGGGCGCCGCGTAATGGGGGGGTCAAAAATGGGGGGGGGGGGCGAGTGTGGCCCGAAAAGGTACCCAAACGGTACCTAAACGAGCCCCCATTGGGCTCTGGAGGGGCCCGAAAGGGGCACGAAAGGGGGCCTTTTCTGACCCCCCCATGTGTGACCCCCCCATTAAGCCACGCCCAATCACTGCCGCGCCGCGGCGTCGGGGGCAGCTGGCCATCCCCTCGCGGAACACCCCGCGCAGCGCGGAGGAGAGGCCGCCTCTTGGCTTCCTGCCACGGGCGCACACGTGGGACGTTCAAGTCATCGCCAGCAGTCGGGGCACACCGCTGAAGGGGAGGGCGACGTGGTGACCGAGTTTCGGAGCTCCGATCCTCATACGCTTGGAATCTACAAGTGGCCACACCTGACTCGCGGTATGGCTCCCTCCGATTTCTCACGCGCAGCAGCTTGCTGCAGCTTCGCACGTACCCAGTCACGCATAATGAGGCCGTATGCGTTCTGGTAGAGACAAGTATGATTGTGACGTGTGTTGAGCCAAGAATGACGTCAGACACTCGTGCTGCTTGGCCTCCTCTTTATTCTCCTACGCGTCCTCCAATTTGGCGCACCTCCACTATCCTCAAGTGTGTTAAGGAGGTCTTCTTTATCCTCACCGTCTTCCAATTCAGCCTGCCCATGCTGCACATGCTTATGGTGTGACTACTCGTCTTCGTTGTTATCCTAAGTGTGGCGTGTGCTGTTGCTGCTCGCTTTGGTCCTTCTCCTTCTCGTCGTCCTCCTTTCTTGTTCTGCTGCTGCTGCTGCTGCTGTTGCTGCTGCTCTTCCTCGATATCCTGACTCCTTCCATCTCTCGCCCAATCCCTCTCTCATCATCTCCTCTCTTCCTCCCCCCCTTCCTGCGCGCTCCCTCTCTCCCTCCTTCCTTCAATCCTTCTCCACAGTGCTCGCACCTCTTGCTCTATCCTCCTTGTGGAAGGGGGAGTGGGCAAGAGCAGCACAAGAGAGGTGAAGATATGAGCCAAGAGACGAAGGATGAATGGTCAGGCTGGCGGGCTGCGCAGCAAGAGTCTCCCGCCGTCACGTTGGACCGCTAGACATGCGCGATACCTACCTCGGAGGGACCGGCACGCGGATGAAGTGCTCGTCCTACCACGGCCGGGGCCTCACGCGGATTCTGCCGCACTCATCGGACGGGGGGGCGAAGAGAAAGAAGCGCGGATCGGTCGGGATCTGGGCGGTCGATCGGATCGGACCCTCGAGGAGGAGGAGGAGGAGGAGGAGGAGGAGGAGGAGGATCAGGCTCAGGACCTGGCTCTGGGCCGACCTGGAGCGGCGGCCGCCCCCTCTTCTCCTCCCCGTCTCGGCCCTCCTCCGCGGCGGTCGGGGGCCTGGCGTGCGGTGGGGCGGCCTTGCCGCCCACCGGTCCGCTCCTCCTCCTCCTCCTTCTCCTCCCCCTCCTCCCTCCTCCCTCCTCCCTCCTCCCTCCTCCCTCCTCCCACCTCTCTTGACAGTGTGGGGGGTGGACAGGCCTCCTACCCTGGCACGTCGATCAAGGAATTGGCCGTTTTCGGCTCGCGAGAGGGCGTCGCGGCCGTCGCTTTGGCGGGTCCAGGTCCGTCGGTTTCGGCCTCGGGCCGCTTTCATTCAGGGGAGGTTTACTAAAGGGAGTTTTGTCCGCCGCCGACAGTGGAGCGCATGTGAGGCCGGGCTTCCGCGAGCAGCGGCGCGAGCAGCCACAGGCTGGGCACGCAGCGCGGCGGCCAGGACACGGGCGGCCAGAACCGCGAGGGGCAGCGGGGTGCCTTCGTTCCCCGCAGCTCGCCCGCGCCTGCGCCACCCCTCTCTCCAGCAGGCCGTGGGGGCGAGGCTCCGCCGTCGCACCCCGCACGGGGATGTTGCGGATGATTTGTTGCGAGGTTTGAAGGGCGTCTTCTGAGCACACTGGAAGGAGGGGAGGCCCCGCCCCATCCCCTCGCAGGGCAGGTGGGGGGATCGAACCGCCAAACCCCCGGCGTTGGCGAGCGACGACGAGGAGAAGGAGCAGAACTACGACGATGACGACGTCGACGACGTCGACGACGACGTGCCCCGCCCGACCCTCCGACCGACTCCCCCAGCACGACGACGACGACATCGACATGCCCCGCCCGCCCGCCCGAACGACCGACTTGCCGACGACGGCGACGGCAAAGGCAGCGGCGGCGACGACGACGGCGACGTGTCCCATCCGCCCGCCGACCGATTCGCCCACGACCGCGACGACGACGACGACGACGACGACAACGACGTGCCCCCCCCGACCTCCCGACCGACTCGCCCACCACGACGCCGAGGACGACGTATCCCGTCCGACCGACCGACTCGCCGTCGACGACGACGACGACGACGACGACGACGACGGCGGCGGCGGCGGCGACGGCGACGGCGACAACGGCTGCGGAAGCGATTGCGGCGGCGGCGACGATGCCCAGCGCTGGAAAACAACGACGACGATCTCGACTTGTCCCGCCATCCCCCCCACCGACTCGCCCACGTCGGCGAGGACAACGTGTCCCGCCTGCCCGACCGAGCATCTCTCCCATGACAACGTCGACGACGACGATGACGAACATGGCGAAGACGCCGGTTGCGACGGACGGCGACGCGACGTCGTCGTTGTCGTCGTCGTCGTCGTCGTCGTCATCGTCGTCATCCCAGTTGACCCGAGCGGAAGGCGAGTTCTCGCCCGCGCTGGTTCGAGCCTGCCAGGTTGCCACCTGGTCTGAGCTGGCCCCCCCCCCGTGTTTCAGGCCACGCCCGCACATTTTGCAGCGATGGCGGCGGCCTCCAGCGTGGTGTCTGCCGCAGGCCCGGCGCTCGCCGTGCCTGCCCCCCTACGGACCAGCCGGTGGACGGCAACCAGCGTGCAGTGGATGGTTGTTGGCACGACGCAGACCACGAAGGCGAGGCCATCCCGCGGGCTCGAGGGGGTCGCGCGGCAGACGACCGCCTGCCCCTGCTGGGCACGCCCCGACGGACCCAGTTCAACGTCCTTTAGCATTGTACAGTAGTCATAGGATCGATATCGAACGGTCTCGGCACCAGGCTAGATACCGTGGAACCTTCAGTCAACGGGCTGAGCAAGGCAGCGACCCAGTCATCGGAAGACATTGCATCGATCCGGGGTGAGCTCAAGGCCCAGCAGAGAGGGATGGAGGTTGTGTGGGCGGCGTCGAGAGCCCCTTGTTCGGCCGCCAGGTTTTCACGCCGACCGGGGTTGGGAACGCAGCCTGGAGGCTTCGATCTTTGGACCGACTATTTGCGGCAGCCACACCAGCAGCTTCGTCAGATCAGTCGATGTTGCTGCCTTCCACGCGTCCGTCCAGGGACGTGGAGTAAGACTAAGGTTGGGGTCGAGCGTCACTTAACTAGCCAGCTCACAGCTACCGAGTACCTCGGTGCCCAGGGGATCACGGATATACGGATTTATGCGGTGTCGGTGGTTATGTCGTTAGCGATAACACGGTGTGGACGTTAATGAAGGCTTGGAACAGGCCGACAGATACCTTGCCCGGGGGCCAAGGATATCCAGCTTTGGCACAAGGTTGATCAGGAGCCGCACGAAATCGAGCCCAGTCGAAGGGTCAGTTCGCCGTTCGCATCTTGGGAGAGTTCGGAGTTGCCAAAGGCCTGTGCACTGGGGAGACGAAGACGAAGACCTTCGACGGCGACTGGGACCGAAGCCATATCGTGTTCAGCACCAACGCCCAGGAACGGTCTGCGCGCGTGCTTCAGACGGGCAGAATCGGGGAAAGAGGTTGGAGTCGTGTGGCAACGGGATGGCGCAGGCTTTACTCGCCTAGGAGTTGGCAGAGATGGACTTGCCATCTCGCGTTGCCGAGATGAACGAGCACCCGCGCCAACAGTGACTAAAAGTCTGGAACCGCCGCTTTGCCAGGGGCGTCAGGGACGTTGCAGTTCTGGGATGGAATACGGGAGGCGCCCGCGCGAGAGGAAGGTAGACGTTCCGAGACGACCCATCGGCCGAATTCAATTCTCACGTCATCCTTTTCTCCAGAGCGGTGCGTCGTTGGTGGCGCCAGACAACCCTATGACGGCCACTTTGAATACGCGTCGCCTCCATCGGTGGCTTGGCGGCAGCGTGCGACACGCCCGCGCTTGCCATCATTGGAGGGCCTCGGGGTCACAAACGATCCATGTTCCTGCATTTACAGCTTCCTGCCCGGGGGCGTACCAGGTCAATTTCGAATCGTTTCGCTTACACATTGTTCGCAGCGTGCACGCGAGCGCGATTGAGCGGCTACTTGAGCGTTCGAATCCTATGCCCAGCGGTTGCCACGCGATTGTCGGCACCGACGGACGCCCGAGCGGCTTGGGGACGGGATATGGCGAGACGGTCTGTCGTTGTTTAGCTACTCGCGCGGCGTTGAAAGGAGGGGTGCTGTCGGACTCCATGACAGAATTCGATTCGTTTGCAGTGGGCGCTCTGTCGAAAGGCCAGCGGGGCCAGGCCGCCTGTTTCTCCGACAACCGAAATGGGCCAGGCCACATCGGCTTCGCACCGCGCCATCGCGATTGGCGACCGTCCTGCGCGCGCCAGGCTAGATTCACTGACGCTGATCCCAGCGACCACGCGCCACTCTTGCCGGGGAGCCCGGCGGGCCGCTCCGACCACCACGGAGACCGACTGGGGCGAGTCCGAGGCGAACCAGCTGGAGCGCCCTCCCAGGAAGCCCGTGGCCTGCCAGATCGAGGACCGCCACGGGCGCAATGAGACGATCTGCGCTGCCCTCCAAGTCCCGCGTTCAGCGAGCTCGGTCGACGCGCTGACCGAGGGGATTTCGCGAACGCGATGGGCATCTTCACGGCAGGCCTGGCGAGGGGTCGCAATCGGGGACGGCGTCTGGCTGCCGGCGCGGTCTTGGGCTCCGCGGCCCACCGTTGTGCCTGGGCGAATGACCGGGGCGGGTCGTGTCTGGAAGCGCGCGCGCCCGCGGCGGCGACCAAGTCTGGCTGCCGCTGCGCGGGCGCCCTGAGCCCTGCGGCAAACGCCGGGGAACTCTCGGCGGCGGCGGGGGCGCCCTTGCGGCTGCTGGGCCAAAGGGGAGCCGACGTGCCGATGATCCCCGACGGCAGGCTGGTTCCCGCGCATCGTCGACTCGACCTACGCGCTGAGTGTATTGCTAGAGGTTTTCCAGCCGAAAGAGAGCGTCGAGCCGGGCCCTCTCGCGGCCGCGCTCGACGCGCGCGCGCGGTGGGCGAAGGGCCGCAGCGGGGACATTGGCGGCGAGAAAGCAAGTGCCCTTGCCACGTGTTGGGCGGGCAGTAGGTCACGAGTGCGCTCTAGAGACGGCCCCATCTCCTGTCGGACCGGGGAGCGGAGGAGCACCGCCAGCCGAGCTAGGGGCGCGCGAAGGCGAGACAGCCGCGCGCAAGAGAAGGTTTTCAGATATTTCACGGGAGTACAGCGGTCAGTCTTTCGCAGGCCCGTTCAGCCCGATGCGGGGGCGCGCCGCGCGCAAGCGACATGGCGCCGCGCCCTGCTCCAAGCTCGCGGGGGCCGCCGCCGCTGGGCAGTCCTCTCGCCGGGGGCGATGGCGGCCGCCACCTGGGGGCCCTCAGCAATTGCAGATTCGGCGGGTGGAGGAGGTGCGAGCGCAGGAGCAAGACGCGCGCGCGCCGCCAGCTGGTGCTCACGGAAAAAGGGGGGTCTTAGAAGCCGCGGCGCGGCGGCCCACCTCGAGCGCGCCTGCGGCGGGGCGCGCCGAGTGGGCCCACCGCGCCGGCGAGCCCGTCGCGGAACTCAGAGGTGGGAGCAACGCCAGAGCGATCGCGACTAGGGCGCGCCGCTGCGCGTTGACGAGGGCCCTCTACGCCCGACTGTTTCGCGATGGAAGGCGCAATTCAGCCCCCGGCGGATCCGTCGGCGCTGGTCGAGCGAGGGGCAACGCTCCGAGGTGCCCCCCCTGTCCACAGCCTGTCCATGACGGCAAGTGCTGTGCAGAGATGGATGCAACGCGGTAGAGATGACGCGACGTCTGGGGGGCGACGTTCTTCCTCGCCTCCTCGAAGCCCTTCATGTTGAAACTGTGGAACCATGTCGTTGAGTATTGTGATCAGGCATGGTAGCAGCACGCCCTTCAGGACGTTCGCAAGAAGCCCGAGGCCAACCGCGTGGCCGAATTCTGCCGGAATGTATTAGTTCCTGTGCCCCATCCAAGCCTTGTCGACGATGGTCTTGGAGGTCCAAGGGCCCGTTCTCGATTCAACTCGGTCCGAGATGCAATTCGCCATTCGTAGGAACCACGAAGCACGCGATATCATTGGCAGCTGAACGCACCTATCTGAAAAAAGGTCTGCGAATAGAAGACCCCCCACCCGCTGGTCGTCGTAGGAGGTGATATTAGGAAGCTCCATGGTAATGTGCGCCGCCAAATCCTGGCCCGACGCCTAGAGGACCACGAGATCTCGCGCGCGGCAATCAGCTTCTGGATCCGCGAAAGCTTCCTCTTGGCTGCTTGTTTTCGTTTGCTTGGGGGCCCGCTGACGGATCGAGCCCACCTGGGGAGAAAAGTTTGACGCAGGTGGGCCGCGGCGCCCGAAGTGAGCAATGTCTTCCTGGCTGCGGTTCTGCGCCGATTCTACGACCGCTGCCGTCGAACAAATCATATTGGAGCCCAACTTGGTTATGGCGGGGACTAAACTCCAACCTCGGGATTCTAGGGTTTGCTGAGAACTTATGGATTCTAGCTCGCTCTGTTTCCATGGCCCGGGCTATCACCGAGGCATGGGGTATGGTAGCGAGTGAGAGCGGTTTTGCAGTCCCTGTTGACGAGACGGAGTGGTGCCATTCATTCCCTGCGCATATCGGCGCGCTTCGCGCGAGAGGCCCCATCTCGCCGTGCAGAGACCGTGTAGTAGGACTCAAAGTACTTGGCGCTTGTCTTCCTATTGATCGCAATTGCACGGGTGAAGCATGTAATCGGGCCCAGAGGGCCTGGCGCACTTGGAGCTACGCGTAGAAATATTCTGACCAACGGCAGGTTTAGTCTGCGTAAGCGCTTAAAAGCTTTAGATCGTTTTGTCCGCCCTGCCCTCGCATATCGATTAGGAGGCTTGCACCTCGCAGCCTCCAGTGCGAGTCGGATATCCAAGTGCCAGAGTACGATGATGAGAAGAAACATGCGCCCCCCAGCGGCGGACACGGACTGCAGCTGACAGCTGAACAAATGAAAGCTGCCTTGCCTATCGGATCCGAGTTGGCGCACCAGGCACGAGGTTGAACCCTGGACCCAGTCCTGGCGTCGCCTGTCACATGCTAAAGCTGGCCACCTCCAATATCCCGGCATGGCCTCCAATGACAGAGCCGCCGAACGTTTGCAACGCTCTCGCGAACGTGTTTGGATGTCTTCCATGGAGAGATGGCGGGATCTTAACTGTACCACAGAACGGTCGGGATCTGGAGATGGGAGCGCGATTTCTATCATGTGTACGGCCGAGATTCGTTCTCCCTACCCTACCGACAGCTTCACTGGAGGGATGGTCAGCGAGCGTGGCTTGAATGGCGCCGTACACTCAGAGAACGTGCGTTTCAGCCCTACAGTCAGGTTGCTATGTGTGCCGTTGGGCCCTGGTGGCACCTGCGGCATGACGGCTACGAAAACAAACGAAACGTCGTGGTCGTCGTCGGCCTCGTTTGCCAGCGGTGTGAGTTGGGGGTGCCAGGGTGGGGTCGGGGGGTCTGGTTTTGGGAGAGGAAAAAGAGGGGATTCTCGGAGGTGGGGTTCCCGGTTCCACAGAAAGGGGGGGGGGGGGGGAATTTGGCCGCCAATGAAGCGTGCGCAGAAGCCGCTCTCCCCGAGATTTGGAGGGCTCGCCGCATGTTCTCCCTAGGAGACTCTTACGACCAGTACCATACAGGCAGCCTTTTGCAGTCCACCGCGTCTCAGCTTGCCGTCTGGCACGGTGGCGGATCTCCCCATGTGGAGTACAGTCGGGGCCCTGAAGACGGAACCCTTTTCGCGTTGGGGAGGGGCTCCGCGTTCCTCAAGTGTTTCACAGATTGCATCAGGCTTTCCTTATGTCTTCGACCGGAAATCGAAGGTTAACTTATGGAAAAAAGGGACCTCGTTCCTTATGTAGGGTTCCTTAGGTCGACGCCCCGACTGTAGCTGCCCTTCCCTCTTCCCGGTCCTCCATCCCTCCCTTCCCCTGCCGCCCTTCCCCTACTTGCTGCTCCCTTCTCCCTCCTCTTCCCTCCCCTCACGTAGACGTGTGCTCGATTGCTCGAGGCATGCCTGTGCAACGCTCAGGTCAAGCTCCAGAGACAGAGAGGCGGCGGTGGCAGGCAGCGGCGAGGCATACAGGAGATGTGCTGCGACACGCGCGAAATCCACGCACAGTAAAATCCCTATCTCGTTAAGTTGCATCAGGCTTCACGGGCACACGCGCACACGCATCAGGGCTATCGAAACGTCGGAGACCACCTATCACTTCCTCTTGGGCGGAGGAAGGGTCGGTGCGTTCTGCTCGGAACAGTTCCCGATCATCTCATCATTAGCTTCGGTGTACCCCCCCATCGAAGCCATCCTCGGGAGACTCGCTGAAGCACGTGAGGATGCAGTAGCGAAGCTCGTTGTACACAGATGGGCGTTGTGTTCCTTGACACGATCTTTGGCTGACATGATGATTTTATTCACGATGACTTCTTGCTCGGACGAGAGTGCGAGGTAGCCCTGGTCCTTGTTGTCCATGGTTGTGCCCCAGTGGCCTGGCTCCTCCTTGGTCACCTGTTCCATCTCATGGTCGATCGGCTCGAGCAGGTGGTGGATAGCAAGCTTCGCGGACTTGGGCACACCAGCGAACATTGCCAGATCCTTCTGCTCCATGTAGTCGCCGAACTTGGACTCGAGCACCTTGAGAATGAGATGGGTTGCATCCAAGAGTGCAGCTGGACCATTCACTTGCACGCGATGCGTAGTGAGGGTCAGAGTCGCCGTGATGTTGATCCTCTGGTGCTTCGCCCCGAGCAGTAGGCCCGCGTCGATCTTGCCCTTGGTCACAGCCGAGGTCTTCACCCTCTCGTGATTGGAGGCGTCAATGAGTGTCGTGAGAAACATGCGGCAATGGTTGATACCTCGCTCGAGCGTGAAGTGAACCCGCGAGGCTATGAGAACGGATAAACGTAAGGAGATGGGGGGGCCAAGGAAAACGGAAAGGGGTCAAGATACCTTGGAGTTACACACCATAATTGAGATTTTGCACGCAGGGCTTTACTGACGCCAAGCCCAACTACGTACTGAAAGTCCGATCATACGCTTCATAACCAGGCAGTTGCCAAGGGTTCGCACAAAGAAGCACGAAGCAGCTATGGACGTACGGAGTAAGGATCTGTTGTGTTGCGAGGGTTTCTGGCCTCGAGGTCATGACAGCATAAAGACACGAAGCAGCCAGAGTTAAACGCGAGACCTCAGGGCCCGCGGGGACCTTGGCCCACGAAGTGCCCCAGGGGAACACGGGGTACCGAACTCTCAAAACTTGGAACGGACAAGGCGCTTCAGGGTACTCCAGATTTCGTAATAAATGGGAGGGGGTCTGGACCCTCCAAGACAAGCCATTTCAGACCTCCCCCGTGGGAGAACCCTCCAAAACATCGTCCCCAGACCCCCCAGGCCCTCCAAGATAGCCTGGAAGAGACCCCCCCCGAAATGAGACCCCCCTCCCTTTATATACGAAATCTGGAGTACCTGGTTACTCTCGCCTATCACTTGCACACTCACATCGATCCTGCGACGGACTCCCAGAGCTATTCTTCGCTCATGCTCAGCCTTGGCACGGTCAAGCACTGTGGACTCCTCAGCCAGTTGATGAGTGCCGGCGCGGATCATAGAATGCACCACGTCGTTGTGGTCGGCCGAGTTCTTGGTGAGCACGTCGGCCAGCTGACAATCCGTTGGTGCCCATCGTAAGGTAGTGTGGGTGCGGCTGTGCGCTTCCTTGACGATCACCGTGTCCACCGCCACGCGACGGTCTCCCACGGTGGAAGGCGAAGACGTTCCCGTGATATGGTCGTGCAGGCTCTTGCAGTCGGTCACCGCCGTAGACGGGTGGTGTTGAGGCCATGTCATCCGTCGCTTGATGTTGAAGTCATGGTAAAGAGCTTCTACAGTCGGGGCGCTGGAGAAGGAACCCTTTTCGTTGGTGAGGGGCTCGGTGTTCCTTGATTGTTCTGCAGTTTGCCGTCAGTTTTCCTGAGGTTTTCAATGGGAAATCGAAGTTCAACGTATGGGAGAAAGGGGCCCCGTTCCTTATTTAGAGTTCCTTAGGTCAAGGCCCCGACTGTAGATGGCACTGAAGCCATTGTGGATGACCACTCCCGCCCGATAGAGCCCGCGTCTCACCCGCAGGGGTACTGAAGTAGATGTGTGCTCTGTGTCTCGATGCAGCCCCGCGCACCGCTTAGGTCACGCTCCAGAGCCAGAGAGACGGCGAGGGCAGGCAGCGGCCAGACATACAGGACAAATGCTGCAACGTGCGCTGAGATCTGCACCTCCCCTCCCCCTGCCCCCACCTTCCCTCCATGCCCCCATGCCCACTCCCCCTCGCGCTGCCCCCCATCTACCTATGCTTCTCGCCCCGCTTCTCCCCTCAATTTCAGAGGACGGGGAGGAGGGCGGCGGGCGCAAGCGTGTGTTTTGGGCTCCGTGGAGGACGCAGCGGCCTTTGCATCCTCGTTCAACGACCGCACACTGAAGGCGTCTGCCAGCTGCGGCGCGCTGCCGTGGCGCCAGAGGCTGGTGGGACAGTTGAATCAGAATGCGGGGGCCGAACGGTCATTCACTGTCCTTGGGTGCGGGGCTGAAGCGGGCTTCCCCAGTGCGGATTGTTGTTGTTGTTGTTGGTGTTTGTGTTGTTGTTGTTGCTAATGTTATTGTTGTTGGTGTGTTTGTTGTTGTTGTTGTTGTTGTTGTCATGCCGTGTCGTTGTTGTTGTTGATGCTGTTGTTGTTGTTGTTGTTGCTGTTGTTGTGGTTGTTTTTTTTGTCGTGGCTGGTGTTGTTGTTGCTGTTGTTGTTTGTGTCTATGCTTTTGTGTTTTGTTGCTGCTGTTGAATTATCAGTTCTCATGTAACCATTATGTGGTTCCCATTGAAGAGTTCCTTCCCAGGGCTCGCGCAATGTTTTTTTTTTTTTTTTTTTTGTAAAGGGACAGTGTGGGGTCAGCGAACTACGTTGTTGTTGACCCTCCAGTTTCCAAGAACAGCGGCTCCCGCCTGAGACTTCCCCACAATGTATTCCTAAATCGCGCTCTCGCGCGGGACTCCCTCACAAGTTTTTACGTGCTGGGATCTCGTTCTCTCTTGAGACTTCCTCACAATTTAGTCAGATGTCGCGCCCTTGACATTTAGGAGTCACGCTCTCGATGTAGATTTGCTCACGATTCATTTGGTCATCGCGTTGTCGCTCGAGATTTCCTCGCCGTTCATGCAGGACGCACGCTTCAGCAACCCGCCTGCTCGATCTGGCCGCTGGGGCCCGCCTTCCCGACCCGCCTTTTAGGGTCGACCCGCCCGATCTGCCCGTCTGGTTCTGCCACGTGCTTTCCGCTCCTAGCCCCCCTCTCCTGCCATTTTCTCTCGTGCTCCATCCTCCTCCCTCCCCCTTGTCCCTTTCTTCCATCCGTCCTCTCTTCCCCTGCCTTAGGGGTTGCACGAAAGACACGTTGCAGGTAAGAAAGATATATCCCCAAGGTAGTGCGATCGAAGACGAAGAGGGCGGGTACCGACAGATTGGGGTATACGTGTTGAGCGGCACGCGAGCACTTAAGAACGAACAATATTAACATTATTGTTGTTGTTGTCGCTGAACTCCCACTACGGAAGAATACTTATTGTTGATCTCCCCTTCTGGTGCACGATGTATTTTTCAATTGAAGTGCCCCTCCTGGCGCCCGCACCCTTTTTACCTAACAGCGAAGACTGATAGGTTTCTAGTTGACTCAAAAGAGCTCACAGATCACTCCACAGGGGGGTCCGGGCAGGTGTTGGGAGTTGCCGGGCGGCAGGTGCCGGGCTCGTTTTTCGCCAACAGTCAAACACTTCGTGCTCTTCGATTTCCCAGAACTCCATTCCCAGGCCACATTCTGGAGGGCCGAATGCAACAGTCACACACTTCGTGCTCTTCGAGTTCCCAGAACTCCATTCCCGGGCCACATTCTGGAGGGCCGGATGCAACAGTCACACACTTCGTGCTCTTCGAGTTCCCAGAACTCCATTCCCGGGCCACATTCTGGAGGGCCGGATGCAACAGTCACACACTTCGTGCTCTTCGAGTTCCCAGAACTCCATTCCCGGGCCACATTTTGGATGCCCGGAGCCAACTGTAGGCCACTTCGTGCTCTTCGAGTTCCCAGAACTCCATTCCCGGGCCACATTTTGAATGCCCGGAGCCAACTGTAGGCCACTTCGTGCTCTTCGAGTTCCCAGAACTCCATTCCCGGGCCACATTTTGAATGCCCGTAGCCAACTGTAGGCAACTTCGTGCTCTTCGACTTCCCAGAACTCCCATTCCTGGGCCACATTTTCAGCAGGGGCAAGAGCACGACGAGGAGGAGGACGAGCAAGACCAGGAGGACGAGGACGAGCAGGAGCAGGACGAGGAGCAGGAGGAGCAGGAGAAGAAGGACGAGCAGGAGGAGGAGGAGGACGAGCAGGAGGAGGAGGACGACCAGGAGGAGGAGGACGACCAGGAAGAGGAGGAGGAGGAGGAGGAGGAGGGGAGGGGGAGGACTACCAGGAGGAGGAGGAGGAGGAGGAGGAGGAGGAGGAGGAGGAGGAGGAGGAGGAGGAGGAGGAGGAGGAGGAGGAGGAGGACGAGGAGGAGGAGGAGGAGGGGGGGGGAGAGCTGCCTTTTCGTCGAGATGCTGTTCGACCCAGAGATGCTCCTACACATGGCTGTTAGGTTGCTTTGCCGGGATAATTTCTTATCAGGGAAAATCTTCGACCTCAAAATGCGTTGTTGGTCCCGGGGCTACAACTGCAACAACAACAACGGCTCCTGCCTGATACTTCCTCACAACTTAGCCAGGACCCCCGCTCCCGCCCGAGACTTCCTCGCATTTGTTTCAGGAATCGCGCTCTCTCTTGGGACTTCCTTACAATTTATTCAGAAATCGCTCTGTCGGCGCTCTGGAGTTGCGCTCTCGCTGGAGATCCGTTTGCAATTTACTTAAGAAAAGCGCCCTTGCGTTGGAATTGTTTACGCTTCGCGAGTCCCCACCAGCCCATCCAAAATCAGCAGCTCGAAAAAGGTGCGCTGACCGTGCGATCTTGTGGCTCTCTTGGGATCTCAGGGAATCGTGGCCCTGGGGCTCTCTTGGGGCTCTCTTGGGGCTCCTTTGGAAGTCTTGAAACCCTCTCGGGGCTCTTTGTGGGAGTTTGGGAGGTCTCTTGGGGCCATCTTGGAGGCCATCGGGCAAAGAAGGAGAGAGCATTTATTGGTGTACCCCCGTCGGGGCCCGAAATATCGCCTCTTGGAGCCCTCTTGGGTTGCTCTTGGGCGCCTGTTGGGCGCTCTTGGGGCCGTCTTGGGGCCCTCTTGGGCCGTATTGGCCGCCTCTTGGGCCGTCTTGGGGCCCTCTAGGGCCGTCTTGGAGCCGTCTTGGGAGCCTCTTGGGCCTTCTTGGGGCGGGCTTGCGGGCCTTTTGGGCTGTCTTGGAGCGTCGGGAAGCCGAAAAGGCGGGAACGCTAAAATGTTTGAACTACTTCAGGCAAATATATGACTTTGGCATCGTGGGGCCCTCTTAGGGCGCTTCTCGGGGCTCTCTTGGAGCGTTTTGGGTGCCTGTTGGGCCGTCTTGGCCTCTCGGGGGCGTCCTTGGGAGGTTCCGCGGCCACTTGGAGCCGTCTTGGGGCGGTCTTGGAGCCTCTTGGGGCTCTCTTGGGCCGCTCTTGGGCGCCCCTTGGGCGCTCTTGGGGCCGTCTTGGGGCCCTCTTGGGCCGTACTGGCCGCCGCTTGGGCCGTCTTGGAGCCCTCTTGGGCCGTCTTGGAGCCGTCTTGGGAGCCTATTGGGCCGCCTTGGGGCGGTCTTGCATGACTTTTGGGCTGTCTTGGAGCGTCGGGAAGCCAAAACGGCGGGAACGCTAAAATGTTTGAAACGCCAACGGAAAATCAATGGTTTTGGCTTCTTGGGGCCCTCTTAGGGCGCCTCTCGGGGCTCTCTTGGAGCGTCTTGGGGACCTCTTGGGCCGTCTTAGCTTCTCGGGGGCGTCCTCGGGAGGCTCCGCGGCCACTTGGAGCAGTGTTGTGGCGGTCTTGGAGCCGCTTGGGGCTCTCTTGGGCCGCTCTTGGGCGCCCCTTGGGCGCTCTTGGTGCCCTCTTGGGGCCCTCTTGGGCCGTACTGGCCGCCGCTTGGGCCGTCTTGGGGCCCTCTTGGGCCGTCTTGGAGCCGTCTTGGGAGCGCTCTTGAGGGCCTTGGGAGCGCTCTTGGGGCCATCTTGGAGGAGATCGGTCAAAGAAGACGAAACCACTTATTTGCCCCCCCCTCCCCCCCCCTTGGGTGTGTAAAAAAATGAGCCTCCCAGGGACCGACAAAGGACGCCCCGGCGACCCGCGGCCCCCCCTCTCCAGGCCCAGGGGGAGGGGGTAGGGGGAGGGGTAAACCCCTCCCCGAATGGGAAGAAGGGGGTTGAGAACAGAGAGGACTATCTAAACCACTCACGCCCTAAAGGGCTGGTGGGATTTCCCGCAATTTACTCAAGCGCCGCGCTCCCGACATTCGGGCACCCAGGAGTCGCGCTCACGGTTAGGACCCCCTCACAGATTATTTCGGAACCGGGGTCTCGCTGCCTTCGTGGCCCTGTTGCAGCCCTTCGTGGCCTCCTCGCTGCCCTTCGTGGACCCGTTGCAGCCCTTCGTGGCCCCCTCGCTGCCCTTCGTGGCCCGGTTGCAGCCCTTCGTGGCCCCCTCTCTTTGTTTCGTGGCCCCGTTGCAGCCATTCGTGGCCCCGTTGCAGCCCTTCGTTGCCTCCTCGCTGCCCTTCGCGGCCCCGTTGCAGCCCTTCGTGGCCCCCTCGCTGCCCTGCGTGGCCCCGTTGTCAGCCCTTCGTGGCCCTCTCGCTGCCCTTCGTGGCCCCGTTGTCAGCCCTTCGTGGCTCTCTCGCTGCCCTTCGTGGCCCCGTTGCAGTTCTTCGTGGGGTCCTCGCTTTGTTTCGTGGCCCCGTTGCAGCCCCTCGTGGCCCCGTTGCAGCCCATCGTGGCCCCCTTGCTGCCCTTCGTGGCCCCGTTGCAGCCCTTCGTGGCCCCCTCGCTGCCCTTCGTGGCCCCATATGTGTATGCCCTTCGTGGCCTCCGCTCGTTCGCGCCCGTCGTGGCCCCATGTGCATGCCCTTCGTTGCCACGCCGCCCTTCGTGGCCCCCTTCGCTGCCCTTCGTGGCCCAGTTGCAACCCTCAGTGGCCCCGTCGTTGCCTTCTGTGGCCCCGCATTATCCGCCCTTCGTGGCCCCGGCTCGTTCGCGCTCCTCGTGGCCCTATACGCATTCCCTTCCTGTCCCCGCTGTCGCCCTTCGTGGCCTACTTCGTGCCCTTCGTGGCCCTGCTGTTGTCCTCTCTCTCGCTCTCGCTTTCGCTCGTCGTCTTCGTCGTCGTCGCCGTCGTCGTCGTCGACGTCGTCGTCGTCGTCGTCGTGGTCGGTCCCCTGTCCGTCCCTTTCGGGGTCGGGTTGCCGCCGATCAGCGCCGCTGCTGGCCAGGCCGACGGTCCGCGGCCGCCCCGCCGCTTGCCGGGGCCCGGCCTGCAGGGAAGAAAGGTATACCCCCCAAAAGGGGCACGATCGAAGACGAAGACGGCGGGTATCGAGGGTTGGGGAAACACGCGTTAACGGACATTCGAGCAGGTAAGAGCGAACAGTCTTAAAATGATTGTTGTTGTTGTTGTTGGTGGTGGTGGTGGTGGTGGTGGTGGTGTTGTTCCCGCCCCTCCTGTGTTAGTTTCTCGTTTTGGCTAGAACAGTGCAGTCTCCACTCCTCCCTCCTCCTCCCCCTCCTCCTCCTCCTCCTCTTCACTTCATCCTCCTCCTTTTTCTCTTTCCCTTTTTCCCTCCAGTGTTGGGTTCTCATTTGGAATAGAGCACTGTCAGCCCCATTCTCCTTCCTACTCTTCCCCCTGCTCGTTCTCCTCTTTCTTCCTTCTCCTCCTCGTCCTCCTCCTTCCTCCTGCTCGGTATTCCCAGCTCTCCTGTGTTGGGTTCTCGTTAAGAAGGGCAGCGTGCTGTCTCCAAATCTTCTCCTCCGCCTCCCTCTCCTCAACTTCCCCTCTTCCTCCTCGTGCCTCCTTTCCCCTCGCTTCCCGCTTCCCTCTGCGTTTCCCCTCCTCTTTGTCCTTTGCCTCGCGGCTCCTGGGGGTTGCGACCTGCGCAACTGTCGCCACTTTCGTGGGTTCCTGGGAGGCCCAGCGGAGTGGGGTGGTACGGGGACGCAGCCGAGACGTCGCGGCTCCTGGGGTGGGCTGCGATCTGGGCAATTGCCGCCATTTTCGTTGGCTTCTGGGAGGTCGAGCGGAGTGGCGGGACACGGGGACCCAGCCGAGAGACTTCGCGGCTCCCTGGGGGGCTAGAGGGAGGCACGATCGAAGAGTCGAGGAGGCCCTTCTGACGTCGATCGAGGGTTCGGGGAGGTTTTTCGTTGTGTTGGGCCCCCCGGAGGCCGTTTTGGGTCTCCAGGTCATCAGAAAAGGATATGGGACGGAGAATCTGCGTTCTAGGGGTGCTAGAGTCGTTCCGAACAGCCGCCGGAAGGTTGAGGTATTCTCGGAAGAATGTCCGACCGCGGCGGTGAGACAACGGCGGCCCTACAGCCAGTGTCGAATCCGCTCAAGATTGGTTCTCGGACCCCTCCCGGGGTCTAGGCTCACAGGACTCCCGAGCCGCGTCCGGCCGCGAGGACGACAAACCACGACGACGAGGGCCAGAAACGATGACGACGGCGGCGGCGGCGACGATGACGACGGCGAGGGGGCTCGTCGAGGGGCAGAACCGCTGACGACGACGACGACGACGACGACGACGACGACGACAACGACGACGACAATGACGACGACGACGACGACGACGACGACGACGACGACGACGACGACGACGACGACGACGACGACGACGACGAGCATCGTCGTCCATCAGGCTGCACGGACTCGTCCTCCAACATTTTTCTATGTGGCAACACAGCGGCAACACAGTGGTTCCGCAGCCGAGCCGGCCCGCGGGGCGGGTCGCTGCTTCGAAGCGCTGGCGCGCGCAGACCGTGCGGCGCGCTGCTTGGGCGGAGTTGGAGCTGCGGCCGGCGCGGGTGGCGCGAGAGCGCCAGCCCGCCGGCGCCGGCGTGCCGGAAGCACGGCGACGGGGCCTGGCGGCCTGGCGAGGACCCACAGCCCTGACTCCGGGTCCGCCCTACTTTGGTTTTTTTTCCAACTTAAAATTGCGTCGGAAATCCACCTATAAGAGGCCGAAAAAGGAGGGCGGAAATTGCTGCACCCAACATAAAATAGGGCGGAAAGCCGCAGAAACAGCAACAGAAAAGTAGGGCGGAAATTGGCATCAGCGGGGCTTGAAAAGTAAGGCGGAAATTCCAAGCCCCATTTACGAATTTCCCAAAAATAGGGGCGGATCCGGAGTCAGGGAGGGGCTGCGGTGGGCACGGGTGCCCTCAGAGCGCATGTGTCCGGAGGGGGAAGAACAGACACCGGCACAAGGAAGCGTCGCTTCCCAAGAAAAAATGTGGGAAACCATGGGAACTGGGGGGGAAGGCAAGAACCCAGGGAACAGATTCGAGAATGGGAGGAGTATAGGGGAAAGATGAGGAATCTTTTATTTGTGTGTATTTATTTTTGTGTGTCCCAGGGCCCCCATCCAGTGTGGCCCGGCACAGCGCTGCCCCGCCGCTGGCGGGGCGCGGCCGCCCGGGCCCGTCGGCCGCCGGGGGTCGTGCGCTGGCGGGTCGGCGCGAGCACCGCCGAGGGGCCTCGGGCGTGAGGAGGAGGAGGAGGAGGAGGAGAAGGAGGCGGAGGTGGAGGAGGAGGAGGCGGAGGAGGAGGAGGGAGGAGGGAGGAGGGAGGAGGAGGAGGCACGCCCGAAATGGGTACTGAAAGAATGGGTACGATGCCCAACAGCAGCTCTTGTTCATTCTGAACAGGACTCGCTGTCCACGCCGCCGCGGCCTGTGTCCATTCGAGACAGGAGGTCGCCCGCCCAACAGTTGCCGCTGTCGGTTTGGGGCAACATTTGCTGTTGGGCATTGTACCCATCTTTTCGGTGCCCATTTCGGGCGTCCAAATCGGGCTGCCCGAGGGCCGGCCGGTCGCGCAGGCCGAGGGGGGGTGCGAGCCGCGCCGCCTTCGGGGAGGCGGTCGGCTTCTGCCTCGCGCACCTGGCTTTCGACAGTCGGGCCGGGCGGAAGGGGGGGATTTTGGGAAAGGGGGGGGTACGAAATTGGCTGCGTGCAGCTGGTTTCGGCCTCGCCGAGGGGCCCACTCCTCGATACATAGCCGCCTCTGGCGCCGGGAGGCGCCGGGAAAATCAGCTACGTGAGCCAAGGGGGGATGCGAGCCGTGCCGCCTTTGGGGAGGCGGTCGGCTTCTTGCGCACTTCTCAGGAGGGAAAAAACACAGAGACACAACGAATCGTCGATTCCCCAGAAGATATGGGGAAGTATGGGAAGTGGGGGGGAGGACAGGAACACGGAAGATATGGGGGATGCGAGCCGCGCCGCCTTCGGGGAGGCGGTCGGCTTCTTCCCAAGCAGTGGCGAAGCGTCCTGGCTCGCCTATAGCCTTTAGCCCTACCGAACACTGTTCTAAGAACCTTCTTTGAGGTTTCCACGACATGTTCTCAGAGCAGTTCTGGTGGAGCCTGTCTTATTTTGATCACATCGGGCTTATGTTCTAAGAACACGGTTTTGTTATTCGAACATTTCTGGGTTCTAAGAACATTTCGTGGTAGGACTATAGGAGTGCCGGGACGGTCGGTCCCTGCTCAAGGGGGGATGCGCGCCGTGCCGCCTTCAGGGAGGCGGTCGGCTTCTTCCTCGCGCACTTCTCTTGAGGGGATAAAACACACAGGCACAACGAATCGTCGATTCCCCAGAAGATATGGGGAAGTATGGGAAGTGGGGGGGGAGGACAAAAACACAGAACATGTGGGAAAATATGGGATTTGTTTTGTGTATTTATTTGTGTGTCCCAGGGCCCCTTCAACTTTGCTTTCGACAAGGGCAAGGCAGTGCTAGCCCTCGGAGGCGTCCGCCGGACAGCAGCGGAGCCAGCGCGGGCTGCTCCTCACGGATTGGCTTCGCACTCGCCGGCACTGCCGAGCCACCTTTGAACCCTCGGCGCGCGCGCAGGAGCTGGACGCGGCTTGCCATGAGCCGCGCGCCGCTTGCTCCTGCTGAACTGCGGCGGCTGCAACACGCAAGCTGTTTCCTTGATTTCTGGGACTTCCTGGCTCTGTCTGGCTGTTTAGTTGGGCTTCCAAGGGGCCAGCGCTCCTTGGGACCCTTGGACTTCTGACGTGCGTCGTCGAGGCGGAGGGAGGGAGGGAGGGAGGGAGGGAGGGAGGGGGGGGGGGGGGGAGGGGGGAGGGAGGGAGGGAGGGAGGGAGGCGGGAGCTGATCCAGCTGCGCGTCGCCATCGCGAAGGGGCTGGTCAGCGACCGGGCCCAGCGGGCCGCTGCGCTGCGGCACGAGCGAGGGGGCTGCCGCCGACGAGACACGGTATAGAGCTGCGCAGACATCCGCGTGGCTGCTTGCGCATGGTGCGCGCGAGTGCTCCACTTGCTGGCCTGGGCGCTCGGGCGGATCGCGTCAGTCGCCGCGTAGGAGATCGGACGTTTCCTCGCGAGGCATGCCGCGTCATCGACGCGCGGGCTGCTTCGGGGGCAGCGCTCTCCAGCGCGCGTGCGCTGGGCGGCTCCTGGGCCCCGAGCCTCCCGCAGAGATCTGGGCGAGCTTTGGCGACGAGCGCGCGCCGCGGAGCTGCGCTCCGGCGGCGGCCGCGCAGGCCTGGCTCCTCTTGGCGGAGGAGCTTGCGCAACGCTGGCCGCGGGCGCTTCGGCGGGGGGCGTTCGCAGCCCTGGAGGCCGCGCGCGGCGCGGCCACTTGCGAGCGCTCCTGCTGCGAGCGGCGCAACCTCTTGGAGGACACTTGCCCCCACTGCGCGCCGACGCGGCACTCTGCTCGCGCCCCCGCTGGGCGCCGGCCTGCAGGCGCCAAGCAGCACCATTCTGCGGTCGCGGGAGGCGGCTGCCCGCAGGAGGAGCGGCGCGGCGGGGGGATCGAGGGTCGAAGGCGGGCGAGTCAGGACCGCAGCGGGCGAGCGCAGGCGCGGGATCGCAGCGGGCGAGCCCGGGCACGACAGGAGGACCGCAAGGGCTTCAAGGGCCGCAGGGGGGGGGCGCAATTCAACAGCCACGCAGTCGACCCTCAGAGAAAGCCAGCGTCAGCTCGGGCGGCAAGAGCCCGTTTCTTTATTGCTCGGGGCATGACAGGCGTCATGGCTCCCGCTCCCCCCCCTATGACGTAACGCCCCCCCCCCCCCCCCAGTGCGCTCTGGGCACTGCCGCCGTGCGCATTGGGATCCGCGTGGGTGGTCGCGTAGGAATCCGCACAGGAGTCTGGTCCGCAGCCGTTGTCGTCGTCGTCGTCGTCGTCGTCGTCGTCGTCGTCGTCGTCGTCGTCGTCGCTCATCGTCGTCGCTCGTGGCTCGTCGCTCGCCACTCATCGTCGTCGCGCGCGCGGACGGAGTCGGCTGGAGCCTGTTTATTATTCCGGGCCGATGACAACAATCAATTGGGGGGGAGGGGGTCGATGACGTCACGATTCGCGCCGGCAGCGTCTGGGAATGCTTAGAAATGACAGGGGACGGGTAGCACCAGCATGTAGGTAGCGATCTGTACCACAACGCCTGTGTACACCACGGTGCCTGCGTGCACCACAGCGCTTTCTTCATGGACAAAGGAGCGCCGCTGGAATCTACGAGCCCCCCCGAGACCGCCCGCATCACCCTAACTCCTCCCACTTGCGTCCAGGAGGTTCCACCTAAATTGGCCGTCCGAGGCCCAACTTGACCGATTCAATCGACCATTCTGCGGTGCACGCTGAGATGCGCACGTGCGCTGTAGCGCCAACCCGCACTAAAGGGGGTAAGGAGGCGGAGGGGGAGGAGGAGGAGGAGGAGGAGGAGGAGGAGGAGGAGGAGGAAGAAGAGGAGGAGGAGGAGGAGGAGGAGGAGGAGGGGAGGAGGAGGAGGAGGAGGAGGAGGAGGAGGAGGAGGTGGTGGAAGTGGGGGAGGAGGGGGAGGGAAAAACGTCGCATTCGATTATCAGGACTTTCCTGGCGTGGCGTTTGTCCGCAGCAGATCCTCACGTACATGCTCCTTCTACCTGTCCTATGCACGCAGGCACTGTGGTGTGCACCGGCGCTGCGTTGCACGCGGATGCTGTGGTGTAGAGTGCACAGGCGCTGCGGTGCACTCAAGCATTGTGGCGTGCACAGGCGTTGTGCTGCACGTGGTTGCCGCGGTGCGCTTGTGCTGCTGCTGCTGCTGCCCAGCCCCCAAACGCGTGCGTGGCGGCGCCTGCCGGCGCAGCAGGTGACGGCCCTCGGCCTGAGCATGCTGCTGCTGAAGCTGCGGCCGACGACGACGCGATGCGCGGCGGGTCCGAGGTGGGGGACGACGAGTGGGCTGACGGTGGGCGGCCTGCCTCTTCCGCCGCTGCTGCGGGGCCGGCGCGCGGCGCCGGCGGAGCGGCAGGCGGACACCCGGCCTCGAGCTCGTGCAGCTCAGCCTGCCGCGGCCCCGCGTCGGCGTCTGAGCCGACGCCGACGAGGCCGCGCTTTCGCCGCGGCCGCTGGCGCTCTGTGGCGGCGGCGGGGAGCCCGCCCGTCGGCCGCGGGCCTCGACATAGTCGTCGAGGTGCTCGACACCTACTCGCATGCCCAGCTGCGGGACCCGCTGCGGCGGAAGGGCATCGCCCCGCCCAGCGGTGGCGGGCCTGCCGCCCTGCGCGGCCTCTTCTTGCAGGCGATGCTCCAGGAGCTGCAGGCCGCGTCGGCAGCGGCGGCGGGCACTGGCCCCTGAGGCTCGGCCGCCTGCCCGCTCCAGCTCCCGCCTTCGCCCGCGGCGAGCTTCGCGGTGGACGGCCCCGCCGTCTCCCTGGCGCCCCCTGCGGGGGGAGCCTGGGCGGTGGCGAGGTCGCCCACGGGGGAGCCCGACGGTCACCGTCGATAGCAAGTGGGATGGCCACCCCCCAGAGGGAAAAGTGGTTGCTGCGGTGTACACATGTACACTGGCGGTGTCGCGCACGCAAGCACACTCTGGTGCACCCAGGCGCTGCGTTGCACACGGTTGCTGCGGTGTACGCAGGCGCCGTGGTGTACATGCGCGCTGCGGTGCACGCGAGCGCTGTGGTGTACACAGGCGCAGTGGGGCAGATCGCCACCTACATGCTGCTCGCGTCGTCGTCGCTCGTCGCTCGTCGCGTCGCGCGCGCAGGCGCGGCTGCGGTGCCGGAGCCACGCGGCGGGGGGGGGCGTTGCGCCACGCCCCCCTCCCATGACGCCCGTCATCGCCGAACATAAAGAAACGCGCTCCAAACGCGGCGACCATGACAGAGCAGGCGGGAACGCACCCCGCAGGGGCTCTACGCTTGGAGGAGAGGTCCTTTCGCGAGGCCGCCGAGGACGGGAAGTGGCTCGGCAGCGCGTTTGTCTGCGTTCGCGCTCTCGCGGCTCGCCGGCGCAGCGGCAGCGGCCGCGGCCGGGCGGTCTCTTGCGCCACTTGCCAGACCTGAGATTGCCTGCTGCGCCGGCCGCCTGGGTCCGCCGCTCGCGGACGGAGGCGGGCGAGCAGATTGTCAGGCGCTTGCGGGAGGCGGTCGGGGTCGCAGACGCCGAGCTCGGCGCCGCCCAGCAATGCCATGAGCCCGAGACGTGGAGCCCGCTGGTTGTCGCCGCTCGCCTGAAGAAGCCCCCGCTGGAGGTGATGATGGGGCCGCGGGGCCTCGGCGCGGGCCTCGCGCTGGCGACCGCCCCGGGCAGCGCCGAGGTGCAGGCCTCGGCCGTGGGAGGCATGCGCGCGCGTGGCAGCCGACGCCTTCCAGGCGTGGAAGGCATACTCCCACCCTCCTCCCCCTCCCCGCCCGCCTCCTTCCTCCCTCCTTCCTCCCTCCTCTCCTCCCTCCTCTCCTCCCTCCTTCCTCCTTCCTCTCCTCCCTCCTCTAATGCATCGTTAGGCAGGAAGGCCACTCTTCCAGCGCGACGAGGGCTTGGCGAGCGGCGCTGCCGCGCCGCCCCGACGCCGCCAGGAGCTTCCCGGCTCGGCGTCGCCCTTCTTGCCGCTCGCTGGCAAGCTCTAGAGGCCGCCGCCCGCCCTGGCAGAGAGGCGCGGGGCCCGCGCGGGAGGCGCGGCCGTGCGCGATGAGCAAGAGACCTCGCATCGCGACGCCTGCCGAGAAGCGCAGGGCCATGGAGAAGTTCAGTTGGCGCCACCGCCGCATTCTCCGGCAGGCGCGAGCTCCCCGCGGACGCGGCGCAGCCTGTGCCCGGCCCAGATCTGGCGCGCGCTGCGTCGGGCGCTCGTCGCCGGCCGCAACGCCGGAGATCAGCATTTGACCGCCGTCGCCGACCTGGAGAGCTGCCTCGTCGTCGACGACGTCGCGCCGCCGGGCAGCGCCCCCGCGCGCGAGCGCCGCGAGTGCGTCGCGCGCGCCGTTTGCGCGACGCAGCACCGGGACGACGAGCTGGCGCCGGAGGGCATTGCTGACCCGGGCTGCTTCATGAGGAGACTCGCATCGAGCGCGGGCCCGCCGCACAGCTGGGCGCGGACGGGGATGCGCTCGCGACGACCGGGGCCCCCGTGCACGAGCGCCGCGTCTTCGAGGGCGCCTGCGCGGGCGAGGCGCGAGCGCGAGCGCGCGCGCAGCTGGGCGCGTCGTGTCCGCGGAGGTTTGCCGCCCGGCGCTGGCGTGGACGAGCGCCCCGGCAGCGCGCGCAGACCTGGCGACAGCGCAGCCCCGCCAAACCAGCATCCCTGCAGGGCACTAGAACCGTTCGGCAGCGGAAGCGTCGACGACGCCATGGCCACCGAGCGCGAGCGAACTCCAGGACACCTTCGCGGCGGCGCTCGCCCGCCCGGAGCGCCCGAGCCGGAGGTGCGAGGACGGCCCATGGGCCGTCGACGGCGATGGCGGGGGGGCAGAGCGCCGCCGGGAGATGGCGCGCGATCGGCTCAGGAAGGAGGTGGAAATCACGGTCAGCAGGGAGGAGTTCAACGATCGGGCGCTGCACCTGCGCAACGCGAATTACGCGCGCGCGAAGGCGAACCGCGGCGTGGACCTGGCGACGCATTGCCGGCGGAACCGGGAGCCTCCGCGCTTCGCGGCGCGCGCTCTGTTTAAACGGGGTTAATTTAGGCGACGAGGACGCGGCGCGGGCTTCGGGGCCCGCGTCCTCGACGACCGCTGGAGCACAGGAGGCGGCGGCCGCCGCCGGCACGGGCGCCGAGGAGCTCGCGAAGTGGC